ACACACACACACACACACACACACACACACACACACACACACACACACACACACACACACACAATGTGGTTTTTTAAACGGTAAGGGTTTAGGCAAACGTTTGATTGCATTGAGATTTGCAACTCAAGTGAGAATCTACCGAACTGCTCTATGAACAAAACCATGTTATTGATTCATAATCATTAGGCCACATATACTATGTATTATATTTCATGTAGAACGAGGAAACTAAGTTAAATATGGATTACACATTGTCATAACTTGAAACATTCACGCTAATATAACCATTTACTACACTGATGAGGACGTCCCCATCTGAGTAGAAAAACTCACGAGACCGGGATGGCCTCGTGGAGGATGCGCGGTCTAGGGGCTGAGTAGGAGGGCTCGGAAGATTCCCTTGGCTCAGCTGAGACACAGCGAGACTCACCCTCGTACTGAACGGGGCTTAAAACGTTCATCTGTTATTCACTGGGCTAAGCCATTCGGCAAATCACGGGAATACACCTTTCTGTTTCTCTCTTTATCAGTATATATGCATATGAATATGGTATATATATATATATATATATATATATATATATATATATATATATTATATATATATATATACATATGATGTATATATATATATATATATATATATATATATATACATACATATATATACAAACACACTTATACATACATACATATATATACATAAGTGTGTGTATGGTATCTAATACTAAGCTTTGTATTGTGAAGGCCATGGTAATGGGAAAAAAGACACACACACACACACACACACATATATATATATACATATATATATATATATATATATATATATATATATATATATATATTACACATATGTGTGTGTATGTGTGTGTTGCTTGATATGTATGTACTTAAATAATAAAAAGATGGACAAAAAGATATATGTATTTGAGTATATATAAATATACGTGTGCTTGTTTGTGTGCAAAAATATACATATATGTATATACACAAATACATATATCTTCATCGATGTCCATCTTTTATTATATTCTTATATACGTAATACATGTATACACACATACACCTTTATAAGTAAATAAATATATATAACCGAGTTTCCTTCACAATGCATAAGCTTAGCATTAAATAAGTCTACTTTCGCCAACTATGCGTGTATTTACTCAGAAGACAAAGTATCGATCGAGTTAAAATACAATTAAATGCAAAGATATTCTCTTTCAAGCAAAATCATTTGAGATGAACGCAAGAAAGAGAACACTATATATTTATCATAAGGAAAATTATCTATAGGAAGACAGAGCACAGTTCTGTGAAAACATAGATTGCAATAACATTTTCTCTATTTATTAGCAGATATATGTTCGTTGTGTCGTATTTCAAAAGGTCTAAAATAATAATGAAAAAGTCTTAACCTTTCGAATAATATTTCCTCTTGTTAGCAAACAGTAGGAGTTAGTGATAATGAGTTTGGGTTACTTAAACTTGAAGGGAAAGTAAGTATATAAATTTTTTTGCTTAACTTCATTTATTTTACACTTTCACACTAATAAATACATTCGCAGCTTTTGAAATCTAGGTCATTATGGCATATCATCTTTTAACCGAAGTGTCTGCGGACGTCCTCATCCGAGTGGAAGGACTCGCGGGAGTCGAGGCCGCGGAACTCGAAGGATTCGCGGGAGTCGAAGTGACGAGACCTGACGGGGATGGGTGCGGGCCTCTCGAGGGACTCACGTGAGTCAGGGACGCGTGCTCTGGGGGCTGAGTAGACGGGTCTGGGGGCTGAGTAGACGGGTCTGCGAGCCTCCCGGGACTCGACGGAGTCATAGCGAGCCTCGCCCTCGTAGCTGACGTCGGCAATGTATCCGTTGTCGCCGTCCACGACGTACCTCACGGTCTGCAGGCGGCCGTCGGGGAGCTGCACGTAGTAGGATCCCTGAGTGTTGTCGTTATCGCGAGCCTCCTGGTGTCCGAAGTCGTTGCCGGAGTCGTCGTGGTCGACGGCCCACTGGAAGTCGTACTTGGCCTCCGGAAGGACTCGAAGGATTCCCTGGATGCTACCTGCATGGTGATAGAGAAAATATATATTTTATGTTTACAGTGTATATGTGTGTGTGGCATGCATAGACGAGAAAGCATGTGTTTATGCATGTATGTATACATGTGTGTATGTTTATATATGCATTAAGGTGAATGCACTGCCCACGCAGACGTGCGCACACACACACATGTATGTATTACATTACAGACAAGCACGCTGCTAAGCGCAGCTGATCAGTCTAAGGATAGGACACTACAACAAACCGGAGCCTTACCCTGGGGGCGCCATAGGAGAAGCTCGGCTTGTCGGCGGCGACGGCGGCGAAGGCCAGTACGAGGATGATCTGTAGTGGGGATCACCAGTTAGCCTTTTACGAAAATTTTGGTTTGATTTTGCACATTATTTACATATATAAAAAATTTTAAAAAAATAGAATTGAAGCACAACTCTGCATTCGATATTTCTGAAAATATATATAACATAAAACTAGCACATGGAAGCTGTTTATATACATCAGTTATATCGTCTCTCGAGACAAGATCCATAACTAGAGCTAAAGCTCACCTTGGTGTTCATGGCGGCTGTGTCGTTGGAACAGTGACTCCTCAGCGCTTGCTGATCGTTATATACCGCCGGCCAGAATCAGGCCTGGTTTTTGTGACCTGCAAGTCCATTTTTTGTCCGGACGATTTTTTCCGCATGTCCCTTAGGAAAACATCTTTTGTAATAGTATTGCGTTAATGAGTAGTTGATAGCCTGCAGATGTGTTGCAGTGGGAGATAATTCAGTAATTCTGTTTTTATTTATGTTATGCAGCGTTGGTGCCTTTTACCTCTTGTTTTTTTTTTTATTCCATAAATTCATAAAATAAATGTATGCTCTCACGTTCACACCCATCCACATATTCAGACACACGGGCATACATACATACGTTATATAATATATATATTGATCTACTCATCTGTTTATGAGATAATATACGCATTTAGAGTGATGAATAGAAGACATATCGCAAAGATCAGGTCACCTGCTCTTAGCTCCCCAGGACGGAGGCAAGGGCAGGGCCACGCCAACTGACCTACTCATTTCAGTGTAGTTCCTGCACTTGAGGACACACTGAGCAGTCACTTTGGTGGAACCTTTCTGTCCGAATATTATTTATTTATATATTTGGTATATGTTTTCCATAAGTTGGAAAACGAAGAGGAAACATCATCCTAGACTGTAAAAGTCCTGATTTACCTTGATGTTATAAAAACTATAATATCTTCGATTACAGATGGCCTTGATCTGAAAAAAAGAAATTTTTTTATTTTTTTTTTTTTTTACAATATCCACTTGTAAATACATATTTGGTTCACACAAGAGCCTGATACCTATACGGATTTTACTGACATCATTATCATTATCACTATTATCATCATCATTGTGACTGGTTATGATTTTTATTACCGTTAGAAAATGCATCAGATGAAGAACAAGTCAACACTGCCTGATTAGAATCATCATTAGGTAAAAATAAATAAATAAATAAGTAAATACATATTATGTAAATAATGAAAAATATATTTATATATATTGCATATATACACACACGCATATATATATACATATATATTTAACATTAATTTTTTAGTACAGACACGGACAAGGTAGGAACATGTTTAGTGAAATCCTTAGAACAAATCTGTTTTTATGGGAATTTCTAAAGAATGATAACCCACCATCCCCCCCCCCTTTTCCAAGATGGGAGTGTTCCAGATAAGTTGCTAAATCTAATTTATTCATTATTATTATTATTATTTATTATATTATTATTATTATTATTATTATTATTATTATTATTATTATTATTATTATATTCTTATTGTATTTATATTTATTATTATCTTTATTATTATGATTTTGCTTGTTGATCTTTTAGTAATATTCGTGAACCTTTATGATTTTCAGAGGTTTCAGTATAGCTCTATCTTCCAAACTTACGATATAATATGCTAACAGTAATTTGTACACTGAACACAATTTCATTTCCTTTTCTTGTTTTTCTTTCAAACAGCCCGACGAACGTTAGGAAATCTCTTACTTTGAGTGGCAATCTTGAGTTCGAACCATTGCAACAGGTTACAGGCACGGTAGAATATATAGAAGCTTTTCTTTCAGGATGGTATGAATTTCATTACGATTCTCCGGGTTGGTATAATCGGCAGTTTTTAAAGACTGATGGAAAAGGTTTATAGCCATTTTTTGTAGCTTTGGTGCACTCAGAAATCTCTACAATGAGAATTTCTAAGTGGTATTTGCAAAAGGTTTTCTGAGTCGAAGGTCAATATTGTTTATGTTGTGTATTTTATATAAAATTGATATAAAAATTACTGTTTTATTCTGAATAATGTAATTGTTATTTTTATTATTATTATTTTGTGTATGCCAATGAACCAATTACAAAACTGACGAATCGGGAAATTAAGCCAAGATATTTTGAGATATGCATTATAACATTTATTTGAAACATTCACGCTAATAAATACATTCGCAGCATTGGAAATTCAGGCCATTATGCACGCCGTCCTCAACCGAAGTGTCTGCGGACGTCCTCATCCGAGTGGAAGGACTCGCGGGAGTCGAGGCCGCGGAACTCGAAGGATTCGGGAGTCGAAGTGACGAGACCTGACGGGGATGGGTGCGGGCCTCTCGAGGGACTCACGTGAGTCAGGGACGCGTGCTCTGGGGGCTGAGTAGACGGGTCTGGGGGCTGAGTAGACGGGTCTGGGAGCCTCCCGGGACTCGAAGGAGTCATAGCGAGCCTCGCCCTCGTAGCTGACGTCGGCAATGTATCCGTTGTCGCCGTCCACGAAGTATCACTTCTGCAGGCGGCCGTCGGGGAGTGCACGTAGTAGGATCCCTGAGTGTTGTCGTTATCGCGAGCCTCCTGGTGTCCGAAGTCGTTTCCGGAGTCGTCGTGTCGACGGCCCACTGGAAGTCGTACTTGGCCTCCGTGGACTCGAAGGACTCGAAGGATTCCCTGGATGCTACCTGCATAAGGATGGAACACTTTAGTCTTCCAGGATAAGTTTCGGTGCCGTGTTGAATGGAATGTTACGACCTTTGAAATTTTGTTCGGTGTATACCATGGCTGTAAACACACGTATACAAACACACGCGTGTGCATACGCTTGCCTTTAAATATAAACATTCATATATAATTGAAATCACATTTATATAGAAGAACAATACACATACTGCATATGATATAGACATCAATGATAAAAAAATTGCGCATGATAATGTGTATCATTTAATATGTAGATACTGTCCACACAAACAAATACACATACATATACGCACGCATGGTTTGCGGTAGAAACTATTAGGAAGAACATCTGACACAGAAAATAGATCTCAGCGCCTTACCCTGGGGGCGCCGTAGGAGAAGCTCGGCTTGTCGGCGGCGGCGACGGCGGCGAAGGCCAGCACGAGGATGATCTGTAGTGGAGCAGTAATAAGTAGGTCGTTTGCTTAGGTTTTGTTTGAAGATTGTGCATTAATAGAACATATTAAAATAAATGAAAATTAGGCTGCCCTTTACTTCACCCCGATTGTCCTAATATTTGGAAAAATAAATCATTTATGAAAAAATCATAAAAAACTGCTTGTAATGCTTCATTGGCATTTCCTAAACTCTCTCGAGACAACCAGAATGAGAGAGGTCACCTTAGTGTTCATGGCGGCTGCGTCGTCA